TGCATCACAGACATACGTGCACAGAAACACACAAATAAGACAAGACTACAGCAGCAGCCCACTGATTATTCAGACAAACACAAACCAGAGAATGACTCAAGGGTTTATAGTAACTTCAAGTATACAATCTAAATCAGGTGTGCAGATGAGTGTTGGTGAAGCTTTTCTGAAACGTCCCAGTAGTTAAACCCTTTTGCAACCATTGATAAGTGTATTGAGGCTAACACATACAGATCACCTACTTCTTCATTAACTGATCTACATATCTGATCTTTATGAAGAAATTATATGAATGAACGGATAAAACAATAGACACAAGGACCTGAAGTATTTTGAAATAGTAGTACGAGAAAAATAATCACAGTATATATGATTATCAATATAGCCATAACTGAATCTATTTCAGGGGCCAAAGTTTGTGTTTTTATTAAAAAAAATCTTTTTTATAAAATTAAATCAGACAAGCAGTATTTATACAGCACCAAAACAAATAGGGTACAAGTTATCAAATAGAGTAACTATATTAAACTTAACAGATAAAATTCCACTAAATACAGATTTTTCAGTAAATAAAACTAGGTACACCCTAATTTACATAACCAAATCAAAAACCTAGTGATAAACAGCAGCATAGCATTTAAAATGAACATTTAAATGTTTTGCTACAAAGAGACCTGCAAGGTCTCAAATTAATCGTTTTTTTTATATTTACACTCCTGTGGTCAGGAGGAGGGGCAAACTTTATCCAGTCCTTTATCAGGTGCATTTAAGCAGTTGTTGGTTGTCTCTCTGCTCTTTATTTTGGATTTACAGACAAGCAGAAATTTGAAAAGAAAGAAAATTAATTAATAATACGTACTAATACTTTTATTCATCAATGATGCGTTAAATTGATCAAAAGTGACAGCAAAACCATTTATAATGTTACAAAAGTATTTCAGAACTTTCTGAAAAAGTTAAGCAGCACAACTGTTTTCAACATTAATAATGATAAGAAATGTCTCTTGCACACCAAATCAGCATTATCAGAATGATTTCTGAAGGATCATGTGACACCGAAGACTGGAGTAATGATGCAGAAAATTCAGCTTTGCATCACAAAAATAAGTTACACTTTTAAATATACTGAAATAGAAAACAGTTATTTAAAATTGTAACAGTATCTCACAATATTGCTGTTTTCACTGTATTTTTTATCAAATAAATGCAGCCTTGCTGAGCATAAAATAATTTCTTTCATAACCCAAACTTTTGAACGGGAGTGATTCATTAAAATGAATCAGATTTCCCAAAAATTTAATTTGATATTTTATATAACTTTATTAAATCTGGAAGCACAAAACAATGTGCTCAAAAATGTGCCGTGTGGTAAAAGTAACTTGGTGGTTTTTATATAATATAAAATTATTTCTCATAATCCACATTTTTGCAGGCAACAAATTAGAAAGAATACTTTTCACCATACTTTCTCCATAACTAATAACTGAAAGAGGCTGTTAGTTCAGCAAACAGTCAGCCAGAGTACTTTGGTACAGGGCTGTGACTTCTCCCATAACTCTCTCTGCGCTTCCGCATTTAAGAGCAGTTGAAAGTGCTTGACGAGGTCAACTAGAACCAGCGAGGTGTGTGTGTG